ATAGCCTTGAGACCCCTGATCTCGTCATCCTTCTGCTCAAGCTCCTTAGAGGATACTATGTCGCCGTTCGCACTCGCATTGTTGGGGGTGGTAGCCTTTTCACGCTCACGTCGAAGCTCCGTTCTTGTTCTTTCAACCTCTCCTCGGAGGAACTCAACTTCGCCTCGAGCCTCTGCCTCGCCGCGACGAGCGTCCTCCAAACCTTCCTCGAGTTCTTGGACAAGTTCTTCCAGTTGCTTGAGTTGTGTGGCTACCGAGTCGACATCCAGGTTCCTTGACTCAAGCTCACGAAGCTCACCCATCAGCTCCTCTATCCTCTTTTCGTACACGCGTTCTGTCTCCGTGCTGGCCAGCTCCAGTGTGTCGATGGTACTCCGGAAGTCTGCTCGATGGGCGTCGAACTCTGCCGTGAGCATGGCGATCTTGTCGTTCTTCTCCCGCAGCAACTGGCGAAGCTGCGCCGTGTCCTTGTTATCCCAGCTATTCCGCTGAGGTGCTAGTGATACTTCTGCCTGCTCCATAAGCCCCTGCAGTTCGACCAAGCTACCTTCCATGTCAGCCAGAGTAGAAGACTGTTCCTTGAGCTGTCGATCCCGGTCCTCGAGCTGAGATCTTAGGCGTTCAATCTCCTCTTCATTCGCGTTGTTGGCGCGAGATGCAGGACGAAGCTTCATGCTGAACGATGAGACGGATCCCATACTGCCATTGGTCCCCGTCCGCTTAACTCCCATGGGAGTGGGATCATCGTCAAGACCAGAGATAGAACCCAGGGCAGAGACGCTCCGGGGACCGATACTGGGCTTACGATCCGACTTGGACGTCCTCTTGCTTGGGTCTCCAGAGGTGCCGCGCACACTCTGGGCGAAGCGCGAGTTTGTCGGGCTACCATATCTTGATGGCGTCTTGGCCGGGGTGGTCATGGATGGTCGTGGTCCTGGCGTCATCTGCATTCGGCGGATAGGGGATTCGGGACGAGGGAGAGAGTTCCTTGGCGCTCGCTTCAGCTGGGGACTGGGAGCTCGTGCACCGGGACCGACTGAAGCGCTAAACTTGGGCAGGCCGGGGGTCGGAGGAGTGTAGTTGACAGAATTCTGGTTTCCAGCTCTCAGGCCACCGTAGTTGCTGGTGCTTGGAGTCATGGGGAAGGATGGAATCGACTCGCGGCGCACAGCTTTGGCCACGGGGAGGAAGATGCCAGCACCAGGGATGGTGGTGGTAAAGTATGATATCCTGTCATGATCAGTCGCAAGTCCAGGAAGAAAACAGAGGTCACCATGACATCTTACCCATCGACATCGCCATCATTCTTCCCTCGACTGGCAAAGTCTGGAAGCAGTTCGACGCCGGCAAAGATGCCCCTTTTGCCCTGAACAGGACCAACAAAACGGACGGTACCCTGCAAGCCACCAGGAACATCGACCGTGTCGCCGAGAGAGACATTGGCGGCCTGGGAACGGCCTGGTGTTGTAGGAATCATATTCTGGGACGAGTCGCTCAGGACGGAATCGACGGCGTAACTCTCAGTGACATCGGGGATGCTGGCAAGAGAGCTTGCGTTGAGCTGTGCGAGCGAAGACTTGCGAGGCAGCGGCGGAGCGAGACGCGAGTGAGAAGCGTATGCGGACTTGAGATTCGGGGTCGAAACGGCGCTGTTTGGTCTTCTGAGGCCTCGCGACGAAGACTTGGGTCTCAACTGTGGTGTGTGTGATCTAGGAGGAGCGGCGGATGTTGTTGTTGAAGTGGCAGAAGGCATCTTGGGTTCAAGCGAGGCGAGGCAGGCCCGGCTGGGGGCCCTTAATTCGCTGGAGATTGATTGATTTGCAGAGGGCGTGTCTGGATTTGTTTACACCCCACGCCGGATGCGGAAAATAGGGGGGCAACCTTGTGTCGTGGGAGCAACCAAGGGGACCTGGGGGTGGCCTCGGCGGTGCCTGGCGCTGTTCGGGCGCTATGGCGCTGTTTGGTGCGCTGGCGAAGGGCCCTGAGTGACGGGCCAGAGCACTGATGCTGGCTGTGATTAGCTCCCGTCCCGTCGATTTAGCAACTCGAGCACGGCCTTATTGACACCCGACGACACGAGTGACTCAAAGGCTGATTGATGGTGATGGATGGGCGAATAAGGCTAGCGGAAATCCGGGCCAGAAATTAAATTGACAGCTTGTTCCTGGCGACGTGAATGGCTGTGACGTTGTGGGTGGAGAGAAGAGGCAAGAATGGCGAGATGGTGGGGAAGCAACGAGATGACGGATGGATGGGAGAGAGGGGGAAGAAGAAAGAAGGTGAAAAGAAGAGGGAAGAGGGGATCAAGTAGTAGTATAGTATTGATCCAAATGGGATAGATAATATGCAGGAGAGAGAAAGAAGAGAGAGTAGAGGTCGGCTGACGGAGAAAGTGGAGAGTCGAAGCTATTGATTGTTGTTGTCGTTGCAGCTGTTGCTACTCCTGCGGCGGCGGCGGCGGCGGATGAATTGCAGTGGTGATGCAGATGCCGATCAGAGAGAAATGACGGGAACGAACGTGGCGATAGCCAAAATGCGGAAAGAGAGAAAGTATGGAGTTTATTCCTCAAAGAGAGAGAGAGAGAGAGAGAGAGAGAGAAAGCCAAAAAGAGACCAACCGCAAACAAGGGGCAGCCAGCGCCCTTTTCTTACTTCTCCTCTTCTTGGTCGTTTGTCCCGGCAAAGGTGTCCGTCACCTTTTCCCTCCTCCCGTCGGCGTCGGGATCTTCCTCCTGATTTAGTACCTTGACTTGATCAGGTTGGTTTGGCTGCCACCGCCTCTGCACGGCCGGTCCCTTCCTTCTCCACGAGACGATGCAGGGGGTGTCTTGGACGACCTCCAGGGGATCGATAGAGGTTTGAAGAGAGGGAACCCGGGGAAGTAGAGCCAGGGTCTGGTAGAAACCTGAAATGAAGATGCTGCGATGCCTGGGATGACGCTGCGAGGTGGGATCAGATGATGAGATGGACAAAGAAAAGAGTAGAGCAGATGCAGCTGGAAAAGAGAGACCAAGAGAGACAGGAAAGAATGAGAGTTGATTGATGGATGCAGTCTAGACAACGCCTTTGCTGTCAGTCTGAGTACCTACTTAAAGTCGTCGTTGTAACAGAAATGTACAAGCCCAGCCAAACCATCAGACTAGACGACCCCCTCCCTTTATTCATGGTCCGACCCTCTTCTGCACTGCAACTACGTTGTCATGATGCGCATCTGCAAGCTCCATGTTGTTTACATGCAAACAATCCTCTCCGCTCTGTCGCCATGGCATCGTCTGTAACCGTCCCGCTTTGCCTGCATCTCGCTGCATCACCCGTCACCTCTGGCCTCTAGCTCACCGCCAATGGCAGACGCCAACCCACGATGCCATCTGCAATCGCCGCCGAAACCACCCGCCGTAAGCCCCCCATTCGTCCCTGTCAGCTAGCCACCCCTGGACGGCGCCCCCATCTTGTGGCATTGGCTTTTGACCATGATGACTGCGCGCGGGTTGTCATGGACAGTTCCGGCCGTTTCGTCATGAGCTTTGACAAGGTGTCAATTCAATTGACAAGAATAGCCGCCCCGGGTTCAGACCATCGGACGGTCTAACCAGCTCTTCAGACACGCCGTTGGTCGTAAGACACATGGCCCCATGCAGATTCTCTCTTTTCCACTTCTCGACCCTTCAATCGAGAGCCAGAACTTATGATGGCTTGCTGTCTTAACCGCCCTCATTTAGTCTCAGGACACGAACCCAACGGTTTCGGATCCAATGGCATGCTCAATTGAACATTGGCCATGCAAGCCGCCTAACTACAAGGGGGAAGGCCTCCCTGCTAGAGACCAAAGGCTGGATGATTAGCGACGCATTGGCGATTCGTCCTCGGCTCCAGAAATGTCCCCAAGCTGAACCAATGCCAGCTTAATCACTTGCTTGATTATATACTGACAAGTTAAGCTCTCATCAAAGACCATGTCATGAGCAACTAACAAGCAAGTTTTATCTGCAGGTAAACTGAACCCTGTTCGGTAAATAGGTACAGAGCTTGACAGGTCAAATTAGCATATCCAGTTAAAGAGGGTGGGCAGGTCAATATATTGCAATAGTCGTTGCCCACCCTTCGTATTCTCTGGCCCTTCAAACTCATCCCTCTTGACCTCGAGCGGTGGAGCAGCTCGTAGGTCACATCGACGCGAGAAGATACCCTAAGATCGACGCCGGAGGACTGGGCAACTGTGGAAGTATCCGGGACCAGAAATTGCGTAGTTGATGCGTGTAATATATACCGAGTTCTAGTAGTCTTTTATCGCTATCCCTAGAAGCATAGAGAATATCATTCGGTTCACGTAAGGTTACTTGTTTCCCCCCTCACATGATAAACTACGAGCGTTAGCCTGAACTAGGAGACCTCGCTGATCACATCGCGTGGGCTTCCACGTGCCATGCAACTTCGTCAATGATCAGAGCGAGAGTCAAGGGAAGGCCAAAGAATCGAGGTGACTGTGAACCCGTGGCATGACATTGGAGACGTGCGTGCCTTCGAGCGGGGACTTAGAGACAGAGTACGGGGAGTCCGCAACGTGTTTCTTCATCTTCAACCTCGGTTTCGGCGAGAACACTACCTATCAGGTTCATATGGAAGATGTTGTTGGGCAGTCGTGGGCATTAATTGCTCGTTTGTCTAGGGTATTTGCAACTCAGCTGTCCATGCTGCGAATGCTCTCATATAGCACCTGTCACTCTGGCCATTGCTTGTTCACACAGAGTCTTTGCTTCGTCGCGAGGAAAACTTTGGATCGTGTATGAGAGAGACCATGCATTTAGTATAGAGGTTGAAATGATGAGGAAAGGCGCTCCTGCCTGCTATGTGGAAAGCCGTTACGCATTACCTAAAGGTGAATGGCCCGATGACTAAGCCCAAAACACCCAGCCAAATATCGCGATGCCAAAAAAAAAAATCGAGGGTGGGAGGGAATAAAAGGAAAAATTGACCAAAAATCGAAAACGACAGCAAAAATTTAGCACTTCACCGTTTCGATCGGTGGTCCTCCGGGTTATGAGCCCGGCGCGCTTCCGCTGCGCCAAAGTGCTTTGTTGTTCGTTGAAAAGTGGTTGTTTAACCAGGTATATGATCTGTGGGTTTTGGTCCACTTGCGCGCCACCCCGGCGCCTGAGTGGCTGATTCAGAGCTGCAGGCGAGAGCCAATGACTCACACTTGAGTTCAGCCAGAAAAAAAATGGTCGGGAAGCCTTGGTTTCATCTCAAATGGAATGTGAATGACCCTCAGGCTGATGAAGCGACCTTTGCATGATATATTGTAGTCTCGCTCCCATTTTTGCCATTTATTCCCATGGACGGCTACCACCGTGTCTTCCTTGCCATAGCCATCAACTGAGACTCATATTGCAGGATTACATGAGCTGCATACGAGTTCCTTTCAACTGAACCTCTTGTATGCTGTCCCTACCCGGTGCAATTACCATCACCATTTGGCAGCTGAAACCAGTATTGCACTCGTTCTTCTACACAATAGTGCATAGCTCCAGAGAAGGAAAAAGAAGAAAGAAAAACCCCCAAGCAATACCTTTACTTTCTGGACAGCGTTATACTGTGCTGCTCAACTACCATGCCCCCTTTACTCTTGTGGCGCAGCTCGATAGCGTTGAGGCTATTCACATATTAACCAAAGTCTGCTCAGTGAGCAAACAGTTGGCCAAGTCTTTTCATGTGCTTGCTAAGTACCGAAGCATGGCCAGGCCCTCGGTCGAATGTTGGACATGGAGTTTCATTGCCCCTCTTCACCCGTCCTTAGGGCCTTGCTTTGGTTGATTGCCCGACTGACCATCCGATCGATGCCATTGATACTGAGGACTAGTCTCAGTTATCGAGTTTTCCCTCTCCTTCTTCCCCCACTTCCCCCTGGGTTCGCAGAGGTAGGCCATCTCCATCTGCTATGATGCAGTAGACTAAGTAACAGCGACCTAGAGATTGTCGCCCTCGATCAACGGTTGCCATGATACTGTCAATTCTATCTCTTTCCTTATTATTATTAAGCTCGACGCAAACTTGGGAGTTTGGGCCTGCCATTGGTTTTGGCAGATACTCAGCGTCAACTTGGTTGAGAAGCAGTCCACAATGACACTTTCCTAGAAAGTCCAGGCTTGGGTATTTATCGCCGCCATCCCCATCTATCATATTCAATGGCAATCTACGATCTATTGATCTCCCGGGATCTCGACTAGTTCCGGCTCGGTTCCGGCCAGTTCCTACGGCAGGGCGATCGGGGCTGAGGATCGGAAGTGGCCCCACCTTTACCCCGAGTCGTAAACCGGGCCAATAACGTGGACGGCTTTTTGATGCTCACCAGGCAAAAGGCCATTGCCAACAAGGCCATTCTGCCGTCTTTCAAGCTGCATGTCCAAAAGTACAGTACAGTACATTCATTACAGGGCCATTTGCCTGGAAAACAGGTCAAGGCAACCTCCAGAAGGTTCGGGGCGGGGCCGCCGGTTTGTCTGTGTCGTTGTTTGCCTGGCTTATGACCAGGCTTTGGGTAACAATACTACTTTCAGGGACTTGAGACGAGTACGAAGGGTCCATACAGGGATGTTAAAGGCGAGGGGTCTTGCAGAGATGATTTTCAACCATATAATGCTCGCCATGTCACAAGTGACGGCAAAAGTTCAGCTGGTCATAATAGGGGCAAGGCGGCAGAAAAACCTTTTACACACCAAGTCTAGACACAAAGAACCTCAAAAGTGCATCATGGCTTTTCAGCTAGAGAGTCAGGTACCTTTTGGCAGACCAGGGGACCTGGGTACAGTTACCTGTAGGCACCTCGGGGGGGCGAAAAGTGAACGAATCAGTGAGACGGGCCCCGCCCAGGCACCAGCATCGGGTTATGTGGAGTCCTGAATCGGACCCTGCGGCTGGAGAGAAAAAAATGGAAGAACTTCTGGCCACTGCCGCAGTCTTTCTCGGGGCCGTGGGATGGGGAATCGGGGCGTTTTGGCAGGGGACCGTGTTAGTGAGGTACCTGCACAGCCTTGTCATGACGCCTGTGGGAGTCTGGGTAAGGTTCTTTGGCTTGGGGGAGTGTATGGTGTAAGCGCCGGCTTACGGGAGCTGAGATTGAAGCTGAGGAGTGAGGAAGATGCTGGAAAAGGCGGCAAGAGAAGAGAATAAGTAGAGTAATAGATTGATACAGATTACAGACAAAGAAGATGCTCAATACCTCTTATCCTCGTAGCATAAACTCATCTTTGATAGCCCAACTCCTCCGAGGCCCGCCAGTGTGGTACGCCTAACCAAGTCCCTCGTACCAAGGACTAGGTTGTGCATTATCAGCACCGCCACAGAATCGACATTCTTCCACACAATTCCATGAGGTGCACGCTTCGCCGGCCGGCGACCCTTCCTTGCGCCTGCTCGCTCGCTCACTCGCTGCAGCCTCCCTTTCTTCTCAAAAGCCGTCCCTCATCAATCCCCAGCGCCTGACCCTGACTTCGACATCGACGTCGTTGCTCAAAATCTCCTCTCTTCTTGTCGCGCGACTCTTTTTCTCTTCTTGCCTTGTATTCATCAAAGGCCGAGCGCTTCATCTGATCGATCGAACGTCTCCATCATCGTCGTCGTTGCCGCAATCACCCTCGCCCTCCACTTCCCCGATTTTTGCCCACTCAGGAAAAGAGAGCCAACCCGTGCAACTTCTCTTGCTGCCCCGCCGTCGGAAACTCGAGATAAACCTTTTTTCTCGGGAACAAGGTACGAACATATAATACCTGCGTTTGCATCGCAAAGGCGTGTTCGGGTTTTGCGCTTTATGCAATTTTCTTGCGTTTGCTGCGCGCGCAAACTCGGGGAGCCTCTTTGTCTGCTTTGTTTGGAGCTTTACTAATACTTAATCCCCCAGCCCTTCCCTCTTCTCGCCGACAACAACTTGAAATCCTTCTACAACACAACAAAACACAACACCGCCAACATGGTCAAGGAAACCAAGTTCTACGATACCCTGGGAGTAAGCATCTGCCTCATTGTCAGCCACTCTGGCCTTGCGCTAAAACATTCCACTAGGTTTCCCCAACTGCCACTGAGCAGGAGCTCAAGAAGGCCTACAAGACTGGTGCCTTGAAATACCACCCTGGTAAGTCCCTTAAAACTACTACGTAGCCCTTGCGTCACCAGCACCTAACATTTCACAGACAAGAATGCGCACAACCCTGCTGCAGAGGACAAGTTCAAGGAAATCTCCCACGCCTACGAAATTCTCTCCGATTCACAGAAGCGTCAGATCTATGATCAATATGGTGAAGCCGGTCTCGAGGGCGGTGCCGGCGGTGGTGGCATGGCCGCCGAGGACCTGTTTGCCCAGTTCTTCGGCGGAGGCGGCTTTGGAGGAGGTCTTGGCGGCATGTTTGGAGGCGGCGGTATGAACCGTGGCCCTCCCAAGGCCCGAACCATCCACCACACTCACAAGGTCTCCCTTGAGGACATCTACCGCGGCAAGATCTCCAAGCTGGCTCTTCAAAGGTCCATCATCTGCCCCAAGTGCGAGGGCCTTGGTGGCAAGGAGGGCGCTGTTAAGCGCTGCCCTGGCTGTGATGGCCACGGTATGAAGACCATGATGCGCCAGATGGGTCCAATGATCCAGCGATTCCAGACTGTCTGTCCCGACTGCAACGGAGAGGGCGAGATCATCAAGGAGAAGGACCGATGCAAACAGTGCAACGGAAAGAAGACGACCGTCGACCGCAAGGTCCTCCACGTCCACGTCGACAAGGGTGTTAGAAGCGGCACCAAGGTCGAGTTCCGAGGTGAGGGTGACCAAGCACCCGGTGTCCAGGCTGGCGATGTCGTTTTCGAGATTGAGCAAAAGCCTCACGCCCGCTTCACCCGTCGGGAAGACGACCTGCTTTATGTTTGCGACATTGAGCTCGTTACTGCCCTTGCTGGTGGTACCATCTACGTCGAGCACCTCGACGACCGGTGGCTCGCCATTGATATTCTTCCTGGTGAGGCCATTGCTCAAGGTTCGTACCCAATTCCTCACGTGTCCCAAATTTGTTCCAAGCTGACCCTTCTAGATGCTGTCAAGATGGTTCGCGGCCAGGGTATGCCTTCTCCCAGGCACCACGACTTCGGCAACATGTACATCCGATTTAACGTCAAGTTCCCCGAGAAAAACTGGACCGAGGACCCCGAGGTCTTCGAGTCCCTCCGAAAGGTTCTTCCTCCGCCCTCTGTCCAGAACATCCCTCCTCCCGATGCCATGTCGGAGCCTGCTAGCCTCGAGGATCTCGACAACCAAGCTCAGACCAGAGTCTTCGGAAACTCCGACGGCATGATGGATGATGATGACGAGGATGGTCATCCTGGTGGTGAGCGCGTGCAGTGCGCCTCGCAGTAAGCCAACTGTGACTGAGCCAGCACTCCACTCGAGTGCAGCAACAACTCTCGACGCCATAACGGCGTCGGCTGCCAAATCGTCGTCCCTTAATCAGGAACAGAAAACATCACCTGTGTGGGACGACAGTGCAGCTGAGGAAGGGCGTTGACGAGCCGATCAGCGTCGCCTAATCATTCAATGATACCATAACGAGCGGAGGATATAGTCTGTGCAGTGATGGTGTTTCACGCGAGGCTACCGGGGAGGGGTGAGCCGAGGAGGAGGTGAGTGGGCTTTGTCACGTACTTTTAGGATCGTGTTTCGGGGTCGTGGGAGCATTTGATCTGACTGGGAGGCGTTTTGAGGTCATAGACGATTAAATGAATTTGGTAGTTGCAGACGTAGACCACGAACATGACGATTTTGATTTACAGTTCTTTAGTGTCTCAACTATATGTGAAGTTTCAAGTTCATTATGATAGCCATTGAATGCGCATGTTCTTTTACTTTGTTCTGTGATGCCACTACTCCGCAACCTCTGCGTCTGCCATCACCTCTGCCCCCTGTGCTTCACCCTGCTCTTCCTCCTGCTCCGACTGCTTTCTTAGGTTCTCCGTATTATACAGCAAGCTCTTAACCACTTTCTCCTCAACATCAAGCTCCGCAGCCTCGACATCGTCATCGCTCACAAGAGCTGTTGTGCTC